ACGGCAGGGCGATTACAGAGAAGGGGTGGCTCAGGAGTAAGGACGGCGGGGCGATTACAGAGAAGGGGTGGATCAGGAGTAAGGACGGTGAGGCGATTACAGAGAAAGGGGCGGAACAGGGTTAAGGATGGCGAGATGATTACAGAGAAAGGTTGGAACAGGAGTAAGGCTGGCGAGGCGATTACCGAGAAGGGGTGGCTCAGGATTAAGGACAGCGAGGCGATTACAGAGAAGGGGTGGCTCAGGAGTAAGGACGGCGAGGCGATTACAGAGAAGGGGTGGCTCAGGAGTAAGGACGGCGAGGCGATTACAGAGAAGGGGTGGCTCAGGATTAAGGACCGCGAGGCGATTACAGAGAAGGGGTGGCTCAGGAGTAAGGACGGCGGGGCGATTACAGAGAAGGGGTGGATCAGGAGTAAGGACGGTGAGGCGATTACAGAGAAAGGGGCGGAACAGGGTAAGGGCGGGGAGGCGATTACAGAGAAAGGGGTGGAACAGGGTTAAGGCTGGCGAGGCGATTACAGAGAAAGGGACGGAACAGGGTTAAGGATGGTGAGGCGATTACAGATGTGCGGGAAGGATGAGGTCCAGAGATTGAGACGGGGAATTGGGGGGGGGACGGGCTGTGGCTCCCACAGGGTTTTCGGGATCTGCCCCCGGAGGGGCGGCCAATACAGCCGGACCAGGGGGATCTGGGACCCGCCCCCCAGGTACCTGTCGTCCCACAGGCAGTGGAACTCCGTGAGCCGCTCGTCAAAGGCCAGACCTGTCCCCACGGGCACCGCCGCCTCCACGTTCAGATCCTGGGGCAGGAGAAAACACAGTGAACCCAGGCATCCGGGCACCCACCCCTGGCACTACAACTCATCCACCAGCCCCTCCCCTCCCAGAGCCGGGAGAGAACCCAGGAGTCCGAGCTCCCAGCCCCCCCTCCCTGCTCTAACCACCAGCCCCCACTCCCCTCCCAGAGCCAGGAAGTCCTGGCTCCCAGCCCCCCTGTGCCCTAACCCACTTAACCCCACCCCCGTCCCAGACCCAGGGACAGAACCCAGGCGTCCGGGTGTCCCACCTACCAGGCGCTGCAGCCTCGATTCCAGCTCCTCTGCATCTTTGTTCATCCTCTGGGCTCGGCCGCGGCGTTTGGTTTCGGGGAGCCCGGGGCTGCGACGGGGCTGGGGGCCCCTCCGGCCACCCCGCTTCTGGAGGGAACACATGGGGCAGAGAGGAGGAAAAACAGGTGGGAGGGGTTACACAGACATCCCCATCCCCCCATGGACAATAGCCCCCAGCCCACCACCCTTGGCCACTGACAGGCATGCCCCCCTCTCCCACCAAGAAACGGCCCCCCATTCCCTACAGCCCCGCCCCCATAGCCAAGGGCCACGCCCACTCCGGGCCCCGCCCCCATGGACAAGAGCCCCGCCCCCAACCCGACTAACCATGGCCACGTGCGCTGAGGGGCTGGGTTACTTTACCGCTGGGAGGGGGGAGCTGGGTCCTTCCTCCCCCGAGGGGACCCCTGGGGGCGTCGCCATCGCTGGGCAGGTCTGGGGGAGGCAAAGAGCGTTAAAGCCGGATCAGAGCCGCCCCCGATCCCGACTGGCCGGGCCGGGGGGGCGGGAGTGGGGGGCGGTGCTGGGGGGGCTGCGGGGGGGG